GTATCATGCAATAATTCAATGTAGTATCACTTTTTATGATACGTATTTACAATCATATTATCATTAGACACATCGTTCATAAATAAGCTCTTTTTTACAGCATTATATTGAATATATATCTGTTAATAAAATAATTATTCTTATGTATTTTAAAAAAAATTATATATTAGTTTATAATTTTTTATATTAAAGAACTAAAAATCATACATTAATGTATATTTATTTTTTATTCACCTTACAAATTTTAGTGCTCCGTGATAATATCTTCAGGGGTCCTTTTTATTATTTCAAATAAAGATATGGCCTGATATATAATAATTATTAAATAATATAATTTTCATATATTTTGTAATGGAGAATAATAATATTATTTATAATATGTATTTTATTAATGGTGAATTAAACATAAAAAACTCCATAAAATAAATGTTATATTTATTATATGTCATCACAGTATATATTATGCGAATTATAATTTATTTTTTATTTTTAATTTTTACAAGTTTTTATTGAAAATATATTATTCCTATAAAAAAAAATATAAAAAAATAATCAAAACTAAACAACGCTATTAGAATTTATCATGTGAATTATTTTTTTGTGATATATAAATGTTTAAAACTTTTTGGATTTTATGCAATAAATCGAACAAAATGATATATATTATAATGAAAAATATATTTTCTTTTATTGTTCTAGAATATTTTAAAATATATATACTCCTGATATTATTTTTATTATTAATACATATATTGTACCATTCATTTAGCTTCGAGTTCATAAGTATATATTCAATATAAATAGCATGAATGCTAGTTTTTTATATAATTTACAAAAAGTATAAAGAGGCAATCAAAAATTTTTGTTTTATAAAAAATAATAATCTATTGAAAAAATAAAAATAAATTTTATAAGTTAATAATTAAGCACATTATTGCATTCTTCCAATTCTTATTTTATTATTTGTATTATTTGAAACAAGGAATGAATATATGGATTATTTATAAAAAGTACATAAGAATAGTACAAACAATAATATATTTATAATTTATAATACAAATACATATAATACATAATTATTTTTATAATATAAAATTACACTTAAATAACGTATGCATAATTTATGTATTCAGGTTTATAATATTAAAACACGTATTATTATATATTGTACTAAATATTTTACTATACAAAATTATTTATGCATAGTACATAATTTAATTATATATAATTTATATATACTGCAATAAAACTTTCTATTATGTGTATATCATTCTTTATTTTGTGATAAAAATTATATTAGTATATAATGCTTAATGTATAAATAATAAATTAAGAACATACATATAAAATAATTGTTTTGGATTATGTCCAATTTTTAATGGAAATTAAAAACATGTAAAAAAATGAAGTATGTAAAATAATCATTTATTATATAAATACATTATACATTTAATTCAGCACTGGGGGTAAAAATGTTTTGATATTTTTTGTATATATAATTATAAGATAAGTACATTTTTTATTACATAATATTTACATTAATTTACAATATTATATTGCTAATTTTTTAATATGCATTTATTCATTAAAATACTAATTCTGATTGTGCATTAATACAATGTATTAATAAATATAAATAATTAAACAAAATTTATAAAAATATTGTAATTTTTACTTATTATAAAAGCCACTTTGTAAATCATCAATGTAACATTTTTTCTGACGCAATTATTATGTGAAAACATAAAAAGAAAAATTTATTTTTATGAATTTATTCACAAACATTTATATAATGGAAAGTAGAGAAACTTCGAAAAATGGTGTAATTATATATTTTTTTGTATAAATATAATTTATATTATTTAATTTTAGCGTATCCTTCTTTGTGAAAAAAAGAAATTATTTCTATTCAAAAATATTATTTTTAAAATTTTCTATTCATTAATGTTTTCATTTTTAGTTCGATTTTAGCAATATATTTCCCATATGTAAAATAGGATTTAGTTGGAAGCCACATAGTATTGGAGGGAATTTTGGCAGTCATTTAACAAAATTGTGTAGTGACTTTTATAATAACCAAAAAATGAAAAATGGTGTTTCCTCTTTTAGTCAACAGTGCCATATCGTCACTCTATATTTATATTATTTAAGTAGTATAAAATCAGAAATTAATATACAAGCATGTTGTAAATTTTTCTTTTACAAGTTATGGGATCTACTGGGTAAATATGGATGGAGCTGTGGAGACACTAAAGGATGTTATGAAAAAATGAAGATTGAACAAATATCTACTTCTAATCAAGAAATTTCTAGTTTATTTTCACTATGTAGTGTTTATCCAATTGATCTTAATGAAGGTATATTTCAAATATTTAAAAGGATAGATGAAACATATGATAATTTAAGCTTATTAATAAGAGACAATAGAAATCCACAAGAATCGAAATTTCAACGTTTTAAAAGTGGGATGAATTATTTAGAAAGTATTCATAATATGTATAACGATACTTTTAAACAATTACTTATAGATTTTAATAATTCTTATTTAACATATTTGAAAGGATTATTAAATAGTAGGTATTCCTCTGTCAAACCATTCTTGAGCTATCGCATTAAGGATAAAAATATTACAGGAGTATTGAATGTACTAGATAAGAAGACACAAATGCACGCACTAACAGGTACAGATAATGATAGAGATATTAGTACAGATATGAAAACAAATAATGGTACACAAATAAGTACAGGAATATGTTTTTTAGTCTTTGTAATATTAATAATTATGTTCATATTGAATAAGGTTAAAAACAAAATATATTTTATTTAATATAAACTTTAATAAAATTATTGTCACCTATTATAATGAATCGTTAATATCAAATATATGATGATTTAATAAGAATATCATAATACCACATTATTTTCAGTACACAACTTTTGGATCATATATACAACCAAAGGCAAGAATTGTAAGGAAACTAATGAAGAGAAGCAATAAAGAACGTATGAGCTTGAGTGATTCATATGAAAGGATGTACCATGATTTAAATGACAAAGTATATGAAAAAGCATATATATAAGTACGAAATTTTTAATAAATTATTAACGAAAAAAAAAAATAATATAAAATGAATTAAATTTAAGTTTTTTTAAATAATGCTATATGTTTAAAACATATTTTACCTAAGTAAATAAACAAATAAGCATATATATATGTTGAAACATTTATAAAAAATAGTGAAAAAATGTATTAATTTTTTTTACCCTAACAAAACTGAAATATTAATTTTTGTATATTCCCATATAATAAGTACAATTATTATCACAATGCAAAAGAAATATGTAATATATAATTATTAACTGAAAACATATAGTTGTTATAACTATATATTTAAAAATATTGATAATTTAATAATTAATACTTTACATCAATTATCGCATTTACAAGTAATATATATTTTTGGTATATATGAAGAAAGCAATATTCTTAAATATTTATAGCAGAAATAGGATAATTAATTTACTTTAAAGATAATTCATAACATGACACAATATTTAACGCAAAAAAAAGGATTAAAAAAAAATTATAAATTTGAATGATTTTTGAGTGAGATATATTCTCTTGCATGAAAATAATCTTGAAATGGTCTTGCTTATAGATGCTTATAATTAAAATAAAATCCTATATAAATCTATTTATTTGAGTAATATAAATGAGTGTAGGTGTAAAACATTACTATATCAATATAAATAATTATAAAGATTATGATATTAAAATTTTAATACTATTCAATGTAAAATATGCACAAAATGTTATGATAAATGATAATATTATATAACTATAATACCAATATATTTATAAAATGATAATTATAATCTCGTTAATGTATTGTATTTTTAATAATATATTTCATAATATAAAATATGTAACAATTGGAAACTGTATAAAAGATTGATTAATGGATAGTTTTCATAGAGTAATGATTATACATTAAATGTGTCTCTTTGTATTTTACAATTTTAATGCAGCATAGCTAATGTTACTTAAAAATATGTTCTAACATTTATAGTTAAAATATATTCCATTACTATAAAATATATGTACTAATAATATGTTTTTATTGAAGTGACAGAGTAATGCATGCATATATTTCCTATAATATAAACAATTTTTCCAATGATAAAATAACAGAAAATAGATTAAAATGAATGTATAATAAATAATAGAGAAATTTATCAACATGTTTATTAAATATTAAATACATTGGTGTTTTCTTTTTATTAATAAAAATACAGATTTTACGTTTATAAGTAGAATTTTCTTGAAATTCACTAATTACATAAAAATTTATCGCTCGTAATCTTAATATTATAAAACAAAGCTATATGTATAATATTTTTATAAAATATTAATATATTACTATAGTGCAATTATATTTTTTTTGATAAATACAAATATTAAATGTAATTTCAAGTTATTATATACATTTATTGCCTTATATATTTTCACATATTCGATTTGAAACAATTCTATTTGTAACATACTTATAGTGCATTGATATTGCGCATACTATGTAACATAAATGAATTGGAATTATAATATTCATATCATTTTTTTATTTTAGTTTTTACTTCTTCTTGTATATATTTATTGTATTATTTTTTTTTTATTTAACATAATAATATTTTTAAAGTATATTAATTAATATAAATATATTTGTAAAATATTTCATGCATAATTTTACTTATATGAACGTATATATTAGAATTCATTTAATGAAATTATAGACAACATTAAAAATACATAAACTCTGCAATTCAAAATTCTTACTTATACACATTCAACATTAATAATTTAAAACTTTCTTAACACTTAAAATCATGTAATACTGTAATAAATATTCATCGATATATAATATTTAAATTTTTCGTATATTTACACTTAGGAACATCTAATATATATTGCAAATATAAAAAATATTTAACTAAAAATTTTTGTGTATACATACAACTCCTTATATCAGTAATACTTAACATGAATGATGGGATATCATGATTCAATTTTCATAATTTTTTATATATTTATAGAATGAATTTTTGCTCAAAATGTTTGCTATACACAAAAAATATTATTTAAATATGTTATACATGGAATTAATATACTTCTTTATTTTAGGACGTCTTATTTTTTCGAGTATACAATTAACTAGAGTTTTTTAAATGAAAATATGTTAAAATAAAAAAAAAACACAATATTTCCCATTTTCAGAAACATTTTAAACATATATAAATTTGCAGTATAGGAATTATATTAAAATTTATATTCTTTTAACATTTATTAGTTAATAATGAAATGCAATCATATAAAAACATTAACAGGTATGAATGCCAAAATAAATAATAGATATATAAATACAACTTTAAATTGTTTTCATACGTGTCATAATACGACAAATATTGAAAAAACTTAATTGCTTTCTTTGATTCACAAATAATATATTAGATGTGAATTATTAAATACATAATACAAAATAATATTAGGAGATTCATTTAAGTTATAAATAAATGAATTTAAGTATTTTTATACCAAGTATTTATTATATATATATACTGTAAAATCTATATATTATACTCAAAACTAAACATCTACAACTACATATATCTTCAGCAGTGTTATATTACCAAGTTAAATATAATAAAAACACAATGCATACATAGAACATTGAATGTTACGCACACACGATTTATATATTAATGTGTTATTTATTATAAATACCTTTATTGATTTTAATTAAATTAATAATATTTAAAAATTTTAATATTTTTCATTATCCATAAAATAAATAATTGCAATATTAATATATATTTTAATTAGTAATTTCATTACAAGTAAACATGCCTTTATATACGTTGTATATTTCCTCTCATAATGAATTTGCATTAAAAATTTTGATAACAAAAAGAGTAGCAATGATGAATATATAAAGAGTAGAAAGAGAATTATAAATAATGATGATAAGTTTATTGTAATTTATAGCCAGCATAAATAACGAATTATTTATGATTATATGCTTCAAATATATTGGAAGAAATTTAATTCACAGTTTTATTATAATATTGTATTAATACCACAATAATATAGTAAATATTAATATAATAAATTAGTGACTGTAATATTTATTTCTATATTTTTATCATATAATATATTTTGGTAGAGTTCAAATTCGCTACAATATAATTGTACAATAATAATAAAAAAGTCTACTTATATCCCAAAACAATTACATATTAAAATATAAAGAATAATTAACAAAACATATTAATAAATCCATATATTGTACTTTAAGGCTAATTCTGAAACATTATATTTTTTGTATTTAGTATGTCTAAAATTTCAACTATGCATCTATGCATGTGGAAAAAATAAGCATATTTAATTTTAAAAACAGCACTTATTTATATAATAAATATAATCATTTCAAATTTGTTATTGTATTACTAAGAAAATAATAAAATTACTTGCTTTTTCTTATATTAATAATTCTGTAAAAGAACACTTATAGTAGATATATATAAGAAAAATGGTTGTTTGTGTAAGCTAATAAGAACAATTATATATTACTGTATTTTACCTTAAATGTTCTCATTGATTTTAAATCTTCATGCAGCGAATAATCTTCCATTATATTCGTATCCATTATAACGTTACGATTACTTTTAGATTTTCCTAATAAGGTTTTTTTTTAACAAATATCCAACTGGAGTGATCTAATGAAAATGTGGCATATGTACAATATTTTTCTAGTATAATATTTGTATAACTGTTAAATAATTTACAAAATTTATATAATACATATTTCTTTTTTATACTCAGTAATAAATACCTTGCACAGTAAAATAGAGAAAACTGTGATTCCTATAATTAAAGGAGCAATGGTCATAGCTTTGTGTGATGCAAAAGCTGAATAGTTATTTGGAATTTCAGAAAAATTTTTCAATTCTGAATTACTAATCTCTTCATATGATCCTGTAGAAATTGTGTGTGTGAAAGGATTTTCATCTGGAAAATTATGACTCTCTTCATCTGGTTGCATCGTTCTTTCTTGTTTTACTATGATTACTTCGTCCTCTGTTTCTACTGGATGTGATTGTTCCTGCTCATGTACCACATGTTCCTCATCGTGCACAATTAATGCTAGATCTATTTCTTGCAAATCTTCAGGTTCATATATATATTCCTGGTATCCATGATCTTGTTCTCGTGTTGCTAAACCAGGTATGTTTTCTTCTGAATTGCATGTCAATTTATTTAATTTCATTTCTCTTCTCTCTTTAAAATAATCAACAAAGACCATACCAATCTTATCCTTGCCATGCGAATCATTATACCTGTTTTTTGATGCGTTATATATTACGACACATTTACCAAGGTATATTCTAAACTTATCACTACAGGATTTATTAGGTGTACTGAAATATGATTCAAGGGTATTGTAATCTTTCGAAAAATCATATAATGCCTTAATAACCATAAAATTTTGTTCGTTCATAATATATTTATCATATATACGATAATTACATATGTTATGACCTCCATCACGTTTTAGAAAAAATTCAAGTGTAGGCATAATGGAGTAAAATGAATTTTCAACATTTTTATTCTTATATAATACATCACCTAACCAAAAATATAGGTAATCACAATCATCACTATTAAATTTTCTTGTCTTATTTTCATTATAAACATAACATAAAGCTCTAAATATTTTATCAGAAGCATTGTTACGCAAATGTGCACTTTCTAAAAGTTTCTTTGCCAACAGGTAATAATGAAAAGTGTCACAACCTACAAGACCTTTATCGAAAGCAGCGTATGCCTTTTTTGTAGGTAAATTATTAAGTTCGTCATCCTATGAATTTAAAACAAAAAAAAATAAAATAACTTATTTATGTTAAAATATCATATTTTAACATAAATGATATATTATATTATCCAAAAAACGTACCCCTAGATGAACTCCCATTATTAAGGAATGTTAAAAAGTGATTTACAAACAAAATAAAAGAAGCATATACTTAACTATGCTTTTACTAATATATTGAAATTTTCCAAATAAAATTAATATGAATATATATAGAATTATTGACGATTAAGTATGTGTGTTCATGGTTTTGTCTATTTATGTAAAATTCTATGATATATAATTTCTTTATAGTTGTCTTTTATGAAAAATGGCTATATATTATTTCATCACATATTATATAACTTTGTATATTTTATCTATTCTGTGATATTTATAAAATGGATGTTGATTTAATTATTTTTGTTTTTTAATAAAATGCATTATATTGTTGTTTATGATTCAGTTATGATATATACTCTCTATGAATATTATGTAGGATGCTATTTACGATATGAGCTAATAATTAAATTAATTATAGTAGTATTTTTTATTTTATATATAATATAACTAATTGTATATAATTTATATGATGTTTGTTAAATAGTATATATTTGTATAATCTATTAAATAACATATTTCTATTTTTTTCTACTGCATAAATGTAATATACTTCCAGTGTTCAAGGTTAAAGTTTAGGTTTTAGGATTTAGGGTTTAGGGCTTAGTTTTCAGTAATTAGGTTTCATTTCATCTGAGGCCACAAGGAATTGATATTTAATACAGAGGAACAAAAAAAAATTATATGGAGTACAATTTTAGAATTATCTTAAGAACAAAAGGAGGCGTGTGCGAGTGACTTGAACGATTGTAATAATATCACTAAAAAAAAAAAATAAATACCATTCTGAGGCATGGAAAAAAATACATGAGTTTATATTCACGAACATTTATTTGGGGATTATCTATTTGATATGATATCTCCTTAATTTCTATTAAGAAGAATGTAAGGAAAAGGTAGGTGATGATACACTAGAAAGAGTATTTGAGGGCACTGTTGCTATTAAACCACGATTAGAAGAAAACATAGATGCTTGCTTTGACGAGATTTATTATTCTGAAGAGTTAAAAGATATTTGTACTTATACAAAGAAATATATATTTCAATGATCATATTATATAAGATGATTATAATAATATATTTTCATAAAGTCTAATAAGTTATGATTTGCAAAAATGAAAAAATATTTTCCAAATAACGAAGAAGAAAAAATAATAATTTCATAAGGACGCAATAATAATTGTAATATATAACTGTATAATATATATGTTATATTGAATACATAACTTAATCATAATATAATAACTACTCTCTGTATGCATATGTGAGTAATATATAACGATCATAATTAAAAGAGGTAAATTGCTAAAAATTTAAGTGTATAGAAAAGTTTAAATATATAACATAAAATTATATAAAAAAGAACATACATATAAACAAAACACGAAGTCTAATAATTAATGTATGAACCCTAAACCCTGATCCCCAAACCGTAAAAACTAAACCCTATGTTGCATTCATATATGTTTTTATTTATTTAAAAAATATTTATGATTATATATTAAGATATAATATTAAAAAAAAAATGATAGTTGCTATGCATAAATGGTACAAGTGAGAAAAGTTATAAAAAAAAAAAAATAATATATGTTTTTATTGACCAAATTATTAGAATAATATAGTATTCCTCGCAATTTTAGAATTATTAATATATATTTTTGATTCCATTTTAAACATTTATATTAGTAAAGAAATAATACGTATAAAATTATAATTATAGAGTATATAACATCGGAATACTACAATTCTTATTACAAAAAATAAGTAATTTCTTTAAGTTCATTAAAAATATGTATATGAATTATATATAAAGCAATACATTAAAATAAAAAAATATATTGAAATGAATAAAGTAAAAAGTAATATTATGTAACAGTAGGAATAAAATATATACTTTATATGATACAGTTTATGTTTTATATCCAAATCATTATTATTTTAATAAATATATATGTGATTTAACCAATATATAAAAAAATTTTAATTATAAAGTTTTCATTAGAATATAGTAACTGATTCGTAAATCCAATAACAGCATTTCTTTTATACTTATGATAAAGAAATTATATTATTATATCTTTTATATTCATATATGATTAAATGAAAAAATATAATATATATATACAATTATATTATTATATGTGATGGTGTCAAGTATTAATATAAGATTCAATATAATATATATGAATCTTGGACAATTCTATGTAGCTTTTTAATGTATAATGAACTAAAACACACAACATTTATAATTAACTTTCATTATTTATATATTATTAGGAAAATTATAAGTTTAAATTTATTAATGCTAAAAATGGGTTATTAAAAATATTCTTGGAAGTTTATTAATAAATATTATCCCTAAAAATAAAATCTATGTACATTATACTACATCCATTAATATACAATGGATAAAATCAAAATAAGATAACTAAACAAGTATTTTAAAATATTTATATTATAAAAATATATGTTTCATTTGTTTTCATATAGAAAATAATTTTCTATTATTTTAATATTTTTATACTGCATTAATACAAAAATATATTTTATTATTGAATTTATCACGTTGTTTCACTGCCATAAATATATTTTTCATATCATATATTTATGTTAACTGATGGTTTCTCTGTTTCGATATATGAAGATAACATATATTAATATATGCTATAAAATTTAAAAATATGAATTTAAATAGTTCTGTAAACAGAGAGAAATATATGATTTAATAAATATGGAATAAATATAACTATTATTAACATATTATGAAGGGAATGAAATCTATGTTATATAAAAAAATACATTTACTTTTGTGAATTCATTTACACGTGACAAAATGGCTACGCGGACGTATCTGAATCAATATGTATGTTTCTTTTTGTAGTAATTAATATATTTTTTATTTTATATTATTTAAACCCCGTTTTCTATGGAGTAGAAGCATAACGTTTTCCGTTAGTGTATCAAAATAAAATTACTAATACATAATAATATTTTTCTTTAGTTCGATTTTAAGGATATATTTCCTATATGTATGAAGGAGTTTAATGATATTGAAAAAGAAAAGGATAATAAAATTTACGCTGATGATTTTTATTCTGTGTGTCATTCAATTGAAACAGAATTAAATTTTAAATCTTCAGATTTTAGAAAATTTTGTGTTTGCTTTAGTAACTATTTGCAACATATAAATAATGCTAAAGTTAAAAATATAGAACCATATTGTAAATATTTCAACTACCTACTAAAAGATCTGCTATCTTATTATTATGGATCATCTTGTTCAGGAGAAAAGAACTGTTACAAAGAAATGATAAAAATATTCGAAAGAAGTAGCAAGAATGACATGAATATATGTGAGCTTTATGTAAATAATCTTGAAGCTAATGTATATGAAGTATTGAATTATCTCAATTCCCTTTATAATGATCTTGATGAATTAAAAAGACATAATAAAACATGCATTTCCAGTAATAGATGCCTTAGAAATTATACTGAATTTTTACAAAAATATAATGGAATGGAAAATGACAGTCTAAAAAATGTTATAGAAATTGTTAAAGAACATTTTTTTCCATATATCAAGTTAGAACAAGAAACAGTAGTGATGCAAAAACAGTTACATTCATACACTATGATAAGTGCAACAAAGGTGATCCTAATTGTATGTATTATTACACTTGCAACAATGTTTATTCCGTTTATTTTGTATAAAGTTAATAATAAATTAAATCTATATATTGCATATTACATTAAAAATTATATTACACATTATTATAATAATAAAAATCAAAAATTAATGTGTACATAATAATTACATGTTCCTTCTTTATAAAAAGAACACATCGTGTCGCTTATATATAGAACCAAGAATAGGGAGGTTAAAAGAAATTTGGCATAAAAAAAGTAAACAGGCTTTAAAAATATTAAAACATTTTGAAAATGATTTTGAAGAATTGATGGATAATAATTCAAAAATAACATATAATACTTTATATTACCCCTAGAAAAGGTATAATAACAAATAAATAACTCATCTTTTTTATTTTAATAATATATTAATTTATTAAAAATACCATTGAGTACAAATTGAATTAACTAAATTAAATAATTGTATGAACAAAAATATTTTAAATTAATAACAAAATATGAAAAAAATATATTGTAATGTTATTTTAATTCTGGGTAATAAACTAATACACAATTTGGAAGCACTATGCATTAACAAAAAATAAATACACGTATATGTATGAAACATCATAATTGAAAATTTGTAATCATTCTTTTAAAATTAATTAATATTGTAATTAAAGTTCCAGATATATATGATCAATTTTAATGAATGAAGAAATATTAGTAAAATTTCATTTGTATAAAATAATAAATGTCTATTATGCCTAAAAAAAAAAAATAATAAATTAATACAATTAAAATTTTAGATTAAATAACATGTGTAGATAGTTACATAATAAATAATATTATATAATAGAACACCTAATTATAAATGAAAAAAATTTTATAATTATATTTTTAAATACTCGAATTATGTGAAGTGCATAATAATAATTAAAGGACCATAAGGTACTTTTATTAAAATATATTGTATATTGAGATATATAAATGACATAAATAAGCCTAAGATATGATTATTCATATATTCATTTAAAAATTCTTATAAGTAATATTTAAAGTGTATAACTGATAAAACAGCAATAAATAATACAGGGAATTCAACGAAGAATTAACATATAAAATATGTCATATAATATCATTATAAATATTAAATCATAAATAAATGATAATTATTTCACTATATTCTTTAAATAAAAACTATTAACATCTTTACTTATTTATATTTTATAATATCTTTTCTTGTTTAAGCCTATATTTTTTATATTATAATATTGGATGAAATCATATATTTATAAAAAAATAGAGCATATTTAACAGAATACATAAAATGTAGATATAATTATTGTTATCATAATTTTTAAATATATAAGTCTTTTATAATTATCATACCACTATGTAGCACAAAAAGTCACGACTTATATTAGATTGGTACGTAAAAAATAGATTTGACACACAATAATTTATTCCAACCGGAAATATTGGAATAATATACATAATTTGCAAGGAAAACAAAATTTAGATATGTTAATAAAAATAATTACTAAATAATAATATATAAATATTATTATCAGTTTAATTATAAATAAAATGTTTGACATATTTATAATTGATTTGTTTTTGCTTTCTTAGCACATTAAAAAAATAAGTAATATTTATAGTACAAATAAAAACACAATGAGATTGAACTGAATAACAGAATGATATAAATGTATATATATTATATTAATAATATATATTAAAAAAATATTGTACCAAAAAATATTTTTTCACAGAGCGAATATTTCATATATTTTTATCATTATGCATAATGAATAACCATGAAAAATATATGTGTTTTTAATAGTATGTACACACTGTAACAGAATGAGAATATTTTATTATGTATATATGTTTTTCGACATATATAAATTATAATATTCTATTTTATAATTTCATATTTTTAATGTTGTTTTTTATTTAAATCATTTCTGGATTAATTTGAATCTCATAATAAACATTATCGAGTGGATGAATTACATTCATACAATGTTACAAGCATGATTTTTATTAGACTCAAAAGCATAATAAATCAATTTCATCTAATATATTAAGTATAACAAGGATATTATAGTATATCAGTAAATCATAAGTGATTTATATAATTCATATTTAAGTATATTAATATACTTTTACTTTAAATCATATATATATTTATGAAATTTTTTAATTTTTCACGTAATAATACACAAATAATATATTATTAAATGTCATTTCTCTTTTAATTAAAAGATTTTTATATTATATATTTATATATGTTAATAAATCTATAATTTATAGCATTTACCTATGTCTGAGCATTTTATTGAATTATGAAAATAAATTAATAATCTATTTCTTTTTCATATGTAACTAAGTGCATATTTAGTAAAAAAATATATATATTATTTATATAAAATATATTAATTTTTATTCAAATGTTTTCTATCTACTATAAAATTATTTTCGCATTCCTCACTGTGTAGGATTTATAGTTTCATATTTTGTTGATACATTATTGTAGTTAATCCTGCATTACACTAAAAATCATTATATAAGCATGTATTATATGTGTAATATATTATCTTATAATATAAAATAATAGCTTAATAATATAAAAATTTTAAACAATGCTTTTGCTTAATATATTTTAATAATATTTTTTCATATAATTTAATATAATTAACGTACATATATTTATTATAAGTTTAATTCTCTATTATAGTTAATTTTTTTTTAAATTTATATATTCATTTTATTATTCAGAAATATATATATTAAAAAAGAGTAGCTTTTGATAGTGCACATTGATCATTTACAATGGTTACATATGTAATAACATATAAGTTTTTTTTATGAAAACAAATATACATTCAATATGTAACGACATTATATTCCAAAAATATTAAATTAAAAATATAGTATATTGATGTGTATGGTTCATCGTGAATTATCTTGTCATAATTATCATATTATTAGATATTATTTATTATTTTAATAATTTTTTTATTTATGAATCTTACAATTCTAATAAAGAATATCTGTAGTTAAGTGCATTGTGTATAATAATACTAATGCATAAACATGTAAATAATATTATAGAATATAGATCTAAATTTAACACATATATATAATTTTCCACATTTAATTATAATATGGACAGAATAATACTTAATCGTTTCTTCTTACATTAATTAAAAATATAATTTAATATTAAATATATTTAATATATAATTTAAAAATATATGTATAACATGGGAAATGATATAGATTATAAAAATTAATTTCATCTACATGTAGAAAATATTTTTTAAGAACTTATATTTTTAGTACGTATGTTCATGCGTGCTTAATTTAATTATTTTATTTATAAGATCTATAATCTTTGGGGATAAGCATAATATATTTTTTTCTGGGAAGTTCCTGTTCGCTCTTCCAAAATTTATATGTTGAATTTAATGTATTAATATAGGATTTATATAAATAAAAATTGTATTTATTACATAATTTTTTATTTTTATTTTAAGCATAATTATATATGGCGCAAAGTACCTAGAAATGTTGCATATATAAAATCACCAAAATATATAATAAGAAGAAATTTATATATCTATGAATATATATATTATATATGAATTATCATAATTAATATTGTTGTTTGTATAAATACATATAAAATAACATACCCTCTATTTCCTAAAAAAGAATATATACCAGAAATATAACTTTCATGGAATATGAACATATGAAACATAGAAAGTTCTACAATTAGTACGCTATAGGTATTGCCTTGTATTATAATATATAACATAAAAATAAATTAACGACTTTTTTTTTAACATATCTTTTTGATGTTTCTTTATTTTGTATATTTAAAATTTTATGTAATCATAAAGAAAATGCTCTCAATATATATACATTTTAAATATATATCTATATATATCTATATTTGGAAGTACGTGAATAGTATTTTTGTATATAAATATCATAAATAATATAAATTTATTATGGAATTGCATTATAAAATTGAATATATGTAATTATTGCTGAGCATTTTTTTTCATTATTACAATTAATACTATCAGAATTTTTTAGGTTATCAATTTCTACATTAATGTCGTATAAATCTTTGAATATTTCCAATTCATCAATGTTATTAATTTCATCTGCATTATACATATAACACATTAAATCATAATTACTTTTAGCTATTTTAATCAATTCTTTATAAAACACTTTGATAGCTAGACTATTTTTTACCTCATTTAGTTTATATTTATATAGCGAATAATATAAGCATTTATAACTATACCTTTTTATGGATAAATTATCAGAAGTAGAATATACATTATATGAATATTGCATAGATTGACAACATATATTTTTAGCACTAGAATTAAATATATCTGTATAATTTCCTGTTACGTTATTACAGTCTTCTTTCCAGAATATTTTATGCTCTCCTTCTTTATATTTATATATAATTTCTTTATATTGAGGAAATTATAATTTACAGATTCCTACCAAAATAAAAAAATAAAATAGTAGTATTATAAAAATTATACACTTAAGAAAATGCCTATATATATTTGATGCAAATTTATATAGAACATTGTTATAATTTTACAATAAATATAATAATATTTCCATACTACAATACATTGAGTCATATTAATTATGATTATATGTTTTTACGGATTAATTGATAGAATGTTGTTGCTTACGAACACACAAACATCAAATTTTAAAATTAACAATATATGGTATGATGAAATAGTATTTGCTCTTTATTAAAGTTGTACAAATTATAGAAAAAGTATTTGATTAAAATAATCATTAATTTTTATTCTAATTATAATACAATAGTAACTGCTTTTGTTGTATAGTATGCTTCCTTAATAATATTAAGGAATAAATGAAAACATTAAAGACGGTGATTAGATAAAAAGGACAATAATATCTCTTGTTAAAATATAACAATAAAACAATTGATGATAATTTATGTTTCAGAGTTCATTATATTAGTTCTTTTTATTAGCTATTTCTGTTAAAGAAAATAAAGAAAATTTTTATTTATTTATTAAAATGTATATATATTATGATTAATACTTCATAATATATTATTTTCAGAATAATAATATTAAAATAATGATATATGTTTTTTTTTTATTTTTATGAAGCATAATTATGATATTTTATTGAAATTTTTAAAAATCAAATAAATATATTATTGTTTGTATTTAATATAGACAAATTATTATTATATATTTCTGCATTTCTTTATAAATTTATTATATGTTACATTAAACTTATAATAAATTATTTTGTTATAATGTTTAGCACATGATAATTTTTATTC